TTGTTCTGAAAACCTGCCTAAGACACATATGATTGGTTGATTAAATGGCCTCTATCTGGGCAGGGCAGAATGGGGTGGGCATGGCTCAGGTTCCCAGGCTTGAAGAGAACATGAGAATCACAGAGACAGGTAGAGGAGAAGAGAAGATGAAGGAGAACTTCACGAAGGGTTAATGTGGAGAAAAAAAAAAAAACAAACCTCGTGGGCCCAGAGGAAGGACCTCAATAATGGCATGAAAAGGCCCAGATGAAAAATACACTCAAATACCATGGGACTATGGGCAGAAGGCTGACCAGATGAGGAGAATTAAGGTGGATGGCTTTGGGTGGGGGCTGGGAGAAGGATGGCAAGGTTATTGAGCCAGCGTAGGTGAAATGTCGGCCAGACCCAAGGTACATAAGGCAATTATAAAATCTAACAGTGTCTGTGTCTTATTACTTGTGATATTGGGTTAAACAATACTACAGTGATAATCTTAGGGCAAATAATAAACATTATATAGCCCAACACTTATTATTTTTTAAAATGTCTCTTCTTAGAAACCAGGTATCTTAATAATAATAATGAAATAAGAAAAGCAAAAACAACCCCAAAAAATAACAGCAACAAAAAAAGGAAACAACCAAAACAGAATAGAATAAAAATAAACAGAAGGAGCCAAAGATAAAGAGAAACAAATACAGACACAGAGACACACATGTTCCTCCTGCACACAGGAATCCCATAAAAACACAAAACCTGAAACCTGCATAATACATATGCAAAGGACCTGTAAGTTAAGAAAAAATAAAAAATAATAGGTCTGATGAAACCTTATGAGATAAAAGACATGCAAAGATGCCACTGAGTGGTTTTGTGTTGGCCATCTACTCTGGGCACACACTGTACCCCCATCCGAGGGTGGACTGATCCCAGTGGAACCTTGGAGAGAGCTGACTTTTCATCTGTGAGTGTTAGTGATTCGAGCTCCTTCTGGGTTGGGGTGGGGTATGTGTCTGCTTTCCCTCTCAGCTCTGGGGCAGAGCCGGGAACTGCCCACATCTGTGCGGACCAGCTCACCAGTCTCTGTGAACTCGTGTGTGAGACTGTCCTGCTTTGTTTACAGGGTCTTGTCTCTTTGGTGTCTTCCATCCTGTCTGGCTCCTTACACTTTTTATGCCCCCTTTTCCAGAGAGTTACCTGAGCCCTGAGGGGGAGGGATTTGATAGCCAAATTCCATTTAGAACTGGGTGATCCAAATCTCTCATTCCCACACACTAAGATATTATGGGCTGTTTTAATTTTCAAAAGAAAATTAGCAGGAATTAACAGGACATTGAGCAGGAATACATGCTGAGACTGTACTTTCATACTTTACAGGTCACCTCGCCTCTCATCGTACTGAATCCTGTACATATTATAATCCTTTCTTCAGTGGATTTCTTCCATTTTGTCCAGATCACTTGTCTGCTATTATTTTCCTGAAATTTTACAAGAGATTTGAAATGAAATGTCTCTCAAAAATTCCAAATGCTTGCTAGGCATGATAGATCATGTCTCTAGCCCCACACCTTGGGAGGATTAAAAAGGAAGAAGATTGTAAGCCAGTGTGTGCTACACAGTGATTCTGAGGCTAGCCCGAGTTGGACCCTGCCTAAAAACAAAAATTCACTTAGGAAATTTAGAATTTATCCCATCAAAGTAAAGATTATGGATTGTATGCCAACACTCTTAAACACACCTCACAAGAATGTGCTTCACTCTTTGAAAACTTAAGTCAACTAACATTTTGGTGAGCTCTGTCATATAGCAATGTGCAGTCAAAACCAGGGCTTTCCTTTATGATACTGGAAAACACACGATTTGATAATTTATGCTCGACCTTTATATGACCAATTTAAAATTAAATGCAATAATATTTCTACAATTTGGCTGCTAATAGAGGCCTTGAAATTATTAAAGCATAAAGATTTTTTTTGCAAAGTTCTGTATAGTTACACTGAAAAATTTTAAACAGAAAACTAATGACTCATGTCTGACTTTATTTAACAGGGTAACACCAGCATCATGAAGTGAGTTTGGAAGTATTTATATTTTTTGTTTTAGAAATGTTTATGGATAATTCTTAATAATTATTCTTTAAATACTGGCAGGCTACATCAATGAAGGCATAGGCTATTAGGCTTTTATATAGGATGTTTTTGATTAATATTTGTTACTTGTCTACATTTCCAACTTCATCATGATTCATATTTGGCAAAGTTATGTGTCTTGAAGAATGTATCTCTTTCCTCCAATTTTGTAACCTGTTGCATACCACTGCGCAGAGTAGCTCATCATTGTTTTTCGCTTCTGAGGGATCTGTTCTCTTATCTCATTTAGATCTTTTTTTTCCCCTTAGGTTAGGCAGGAGTTTCAAACTTTTTTAAAGAAACTTTTTATTTGCTGAATTTTGTTCTCTATATGACTTATTTCTGTTCTGATGTCTATATTACCTTCCTTATATTTTGTTATTTTTCTGAATCATTGTGAGATAAATCGTTTTTTTTTCATCTTTTTCTGCATTTTTAATGATGATGTTTAGCTGAATAAAATTCCCCTTCAGTGTGCTTTTGAATTCCATCAGGTCTGACTTATCATGTTTCTTTTCTTTTTTTCTCAAGGCATCCTTAAAATCCATTTTTGATTTCCTCTCTGACTCAGTCATTGCTGAAGAGAATTTTGTTTAATTTCTATGGATTTGTGGATTTACCGGAGTACCTCTTATTATTAGTTACTTCAGGTATTTTTACACTGTGTTCAGCAAAGATACTTAAAAACACCAATCCATATCTTTGACTAACATTGGTGAAGAGATTCTCAAAAATTGATCAAAAAATACCAGGAAAGGCCCTTATCTTCAGTTCACATTGGAATACTCAGGCTGAGCCCTAGTCCCCGCCAACAAATGCATCAGTGACAGGGATGAGATAGATGAACTTGCCAGCAAGAGTAGGTAATGGCAAACAGGCAAAAGCAAACCTTCCTTCTGTCTTTTTTCTGGGCTGCCCACATTTTAGAGTGGCTCTTCCTGTTCAGCTAATCTGAGGAAGAAAATCCCTTGCAGGTATGTCCAGTAATTTGCTTTTAATTAATTCCAGAATTCTTACAATTCTTACATATAGTTTCCTCATATTTTCTTTCTCCAAATCTCTTCTTTTACTTATTATCAAAATATTTAGCATCAATATTTTAAAAAATATCTAGTTAATATTTTTTAAGACTTACTTATTTATTATGTATACAATGTGTGTTTGCATGCTAGAAGAGGGCACCAGATTTCATTTTAGATGCTTGTGAGCTACCATGTGGTTGCTAGGAATTCAACTCATGATCTCTGGAAGAGCAGCCAGTGCTCTTAACCTCTGAGCCATCTCTCCAGCCCCTAGATAATATTTTTAATATCTGTGCTAGTAAGCTTTTGTCAACCTAACACAAACCAAGACATATCTGGGAAGAGAGACTATTAGTTGAGAAAATGTCTCCACACGACTGGTCTGTCAGAAAGTCTCAATTAATGATTGCTATGGATGGACCCAGATTCCTGTGGCCAGTGCCACTGCCAGGCCGGTGGTCCTGGGTTGTAAAAGAAAGTAGGTTAAGCAAGCCAAGAGGAGCAAGCCAGTAAGAAGCATCCCCCATGGATTTTCCTACAGCTTCTGCCTCTAGGTTCCTGCCCCTAAGTTATCTGTTATCTGAGAGTTACAAGCTATAATAAATATTCTCCTTCCCAAGCTGTGTTTGGTCATGATGTTTATCATAACAAAGAAAACTAGCAAGGACAAGATGTTGGGTTCCTTTCTAACTTTCCAGTTATAACGGTAGAAGTTTGGAGATATAAATGTGCCTCAGACAGTGAACAGTCTTTTTTGTAATTGTTTTGTGTAACTCATACTGGCTGTGTCATGTACTTGCTAACCATCATCTTCTAAAATTTTAACAGGAAATGTCCATATTCAATTCTAAAAGGTGCTTTGGGTTACTTGGTTTATTAATAATAATTTAATCATTTCTGTTACAGTTTACAGATAATTACTAAGCTTAAAGTTTTACTGAAATTCTCATAAAAAACACTTAATACACAGAAGTTGAATCACTGATACTTATGGTATATAAGGCAAAATGGCCATAAAGTTAACCCGTTTATTTTAAAGTTTACAATAAAGAAATAACTTCTTTAAGAAACAAATAGTTTTAACCTAATTTAAACACTACACTATAAACATGTACACATTTACCTGCACATGTGTGTAATGACCAATATGTTATCACACCCTATAAAGTTTTGTATAATTTAATGCTTCTATGTCCTAACTAAAATCAGTCCTAGTAGAACATCTATAAAACAACAACTTCAAGACCTTAGGTTCAAGGAACACTGTTGAAGATAAGGCAGAAAGGCTGTAGGAACCAGAGGACAGAGGATATGCTGGGAGGCTGTGTATCTTGGTAACTCCAGAATTTACATCCATAAAGTTTCATCATCATGACTTCCCAAACACGAACAAAGACAGCAACAATAGACCTGCTCACGTCAGTACTGAGTTTTAGTTCTTCACAAAGAACTACAGGCAGCTAGGGAAAGCGGAGAGCGGGAGAAATGGACTCCTTCAGAAAAGGGCACCTTCAGAAAAATCACCTAACTGGTTATACAATACCACGTGGTCATCCCTGAACACCATGCATATAAGTAACATTGCTCAGACAAGATATATGTATACATCCATACATACGTAACAACAGTTAATTTAAAAAGGGGGGCCATAAATTTGAAAGAGAGCAAGGAGGAGAGTATGGGAGTATTTGGATGGAGAAAAAGGAACAATAATGTAACTATAATTGCAATAATAAAAAAATGAAAAAATAAGTTTAATAAAATGAATGCTTTTATTATACCTTTAACTAAAGTTGAGGTACTACAATAATTGGACAGTATGTTATACTTTAAATATCATTTTATTTTATAGGGAATCACAGTTTTATCAGGTGGAGAAGCCTCCGCGTTTTTCCTGGTGAGGTGGTGAGGATGATTTTGGAATACTGCCACTGGAGCGGGAGAACACCTTTGACAGAGTTGAAGATACCTTTGCTAGCACTTTAGAGCCTTGCTTGGAAATAATGTTCTTGGCCATTTCTGTGGGGAAAAAAATCATAATAAACTGAGTGATTGTTGAAGCAGTTGCATTTCAACAATGATTTAGAGTTCAGAAGTTGGCGCTGGTAAAATAATCTGTGAAAGATAAAGCACGGCTGCCTTACTTTCACTTGATTTGCTATGCTCCCCCGAAGGCATTGGGCCCAGCAATGTCTTCATTTATGGGTCATGAACTTTGGTGAGGTAGAAGACCCTGGCTAAGGTCATACAGGTAGAGTGAGTCTAAGCTGGGAATTCAGTCCAGTGATTTTGTCTCTGGGGTGTGGTGCCCACTTGATCTTGGAGAATTTCCAGGTGGGCATGCAACATCCACCTCTTGTCCCTCCTGAAAGCTACGTGAAAATACCTAATGAGCTGAAAAGGGAGATGCATTTCAATGGTCTGTGTGTGAGTTCTACTTTATACTGTTCAAGTTAAAGCAGAAATATATTAAAATGCTGTCATTTCTGGTCAATTTTGTGTAAATTTCCTTTTGAAAGTCCATAGGTATGTTCCTTTGTCATGTAAGATACAACTGCATAGATAATGAAAATGTCAGTATTTGGATTCGGTTTTTCTGTATCAGCTACTAACAACCTGAATCTTTAAGAAAATATCTCAACTTATGACGACTTGTTATAGGACTTGAAAACACATAAGATGTCAAAAACCCAACATTTTACTAGCTGTAATGTATGACTTTCAAAAGTCAGGAATCTTTAAATATCCATATTTAATTTCTCTTTAAAATCAAAGTAAGCTCGGAAAAGGCTACTAAGAACCTCGCATTTCAGTGACCAATGGCTCATGCCAGCTCCCCTGAGCCACTTACTCCACTTTTCTTGCATCATCCACCTTGTTCAGCAAGCAATCCTCCCACATGGATCACACTGCTGATGAACAAACACAGGCCCTAAAATCCTGGGCTCTGTGCAGCCCCGCAGCTATAGAACCTTAGAGAGCTTATTATAGTGTTCCTCCTCAACTATTTCCATCTGATTCTATAATGATATATGTATAACTGTGGCCTAATAAATGTTAGTTACACTGTTGTTCCTTGGCCTTCAAAGTTAAAGACAATTTATATAATAAACTTTAGACTTTTACACAAATGCTATGGATATTATTTCAATTTCTTATTAATAATGTATAAGGGAAAGGTCACTCATCCTGGAAAGATCAATGATAAAAATATCTACATTCACAATAATATCAATAAGAGCTATATTTTGTTGATGGTTAAACGTTTAGTTGCATTTTGTACCTGAAACATATTCCTTTGAGGGACGTGAACAGCTGGCCACACTTTTTGATCCTTCAAAGATGGTGATAAACTGTCAAGACAAATTGTCAGGCTTAGTCTCTGGACAGTAAAGACATACCAAGAATATCCAAAGAAATATCAACTATTTACGCTTTCATGCAAGTGAAATCTATGTTTTACCACCTGGAGTGAGCCTCCCACTCCCGAGACTCAGGCGGGTGAATTCTACCAGCTATCGTTCTAAGGATCTGTCTATGTGATTTGCCCGTGGCCACACAGCAACCAAAGGCTGAGCTCTGCTGACACTCGAGAAAAGTCAGCACTTTACCTACCCCTTCTTTGCACTCATTTCAATAAATTGTATTAAATTGCAAACATGTTTCTGAGAAAAAATAAAATGATAAGAGAGAAGCAAAATGCTTCACTTTGCAACCTTCAGTTTTCTCCATAGATAGTTTATCAGTTTACAGGGTTCTGAAGCGAGAGTCACTGTGGTTTTGATATTACCAGGGACATCCAGATACTGGTTGTATTCTGGAAATTTGCATCATTTCTTTGAATGAAAGAAGAGTACCTGTCCCTAAAGGGCAAGACACAGCTACTGCCAAGGCTCCAGTTCTCAAGGTAATTTCAAGTGTTCAAGAGAAACTTCAGTGCTTCTTGGCCATTCGATAGTCCGCTACTGAGAATTCTCTGTTTAGCTCCGTACCCCATTTTAACTGGATTACTTGGTTTGTTGAAGTTTAACTTCTTGATATTCTTTGTCTATTCTGGATATTAGCCCTTTGTCATATGTAGGGTTGGTGAAGATCCTTTCCCAGTCTGTAGGCTGATGTTTTGTTCTGACGACAGTGTCCTTTGCTTTACAGAAGCTTTTCTGTTTCAGGAGGTCCCATTTACTGATTGTTGATCTTGGAGCCTGTGCTGTTGGTGCTCTTCAGGAATTTGTCTCCTGTGCCAATGAGTTCAAGGCTCTTCCCCACTTTTTCTTCTAACAGATTCTAAGTGTGTCTGGTTTCACGTTGAGGTCTTTGATCCACTTGGACTTTTAGTTTTGTGCAGGGAATTGTTCAACATCATTAGTCATCAGGGAAATATAAATCAAAACAACTCTGAGATTCCATCTTAAATTAACATCCTTCAGAATGGCTAAAATCAAAAACTCATGGGACAGTGCATGTGGAGAGGTTTTGGTAAAAGAGATCAAGTTCGATATTGGAGTGCAAACTTGTACAACCACTTTGGAAATCAGTCTTACGCTTTCTCAGAAATTTGGAAATATCTCTTCCTCAAGATCCAGCTATACCACTCCTTGGCATATACCCAAAAGATACTGCATCATACGAGGACACTTGTGCAACTATATTCATAGTAGCTTTATTCATAATAGCAAAAAACTAGAAACAACACAAATGTCTCTCAACCAAAGAATGGATAAAGAAAAAACAGTGGAATACTATTCAGCTATTAAAAACAAGGAAATCATGAAATTTGCAGGCAAATTGATGTATCTGGAAAAGATCATCCTTACTGAGGCAACCTAGACCCAGAAACACAAGCATGGTATATATGCACTTATAAGATATTAGCCATATAATACAGGATAACCATACTACAACCAATAGACTTAAAGAAGCTAAGTAACAAGGAGCACCCTAGAGAGGATGCTTAATTCTCATTTAGAAGGGTAAATAGAATATACAATGGAAGTGGTTGAAAAGAGGGAATGGGATGGGAGCCTACCACAAATATCCTCTGAAAAACTCCACTCAGCAGGGCATTGAAGCAGATGCTGTGACTCATAGCCAAACTCTGGGCAGAGCCCTGGGAGTCTTATGGAAGAGTGTGGGCATAGAAGGATCTGGGACAGACAGGAGCTCCGCAGAAGACCAACAGAGAAAATAAATCTGGGCCTAGGGGGTCCTGCAGAGACTGATGCACCAACCAAGAACCATGCATAGAGATAACCTAGATTCCCTGCTCAGATGTAGCCCATGGCAGCTCAGGCTCCCTGTGGAGTGCCCTAGTAAGGGGAGCAGGAACTTTCTCTGATGTGGATTCTGTTGCCTGCTTTTCTATCACTTCTCCTTAGATGGGGGTTGGGCGGTGCTTCCAGGCCACAGAGAAAGAGGATGCAAGCAGTCCTGATAAGAACTGATAGGCTGGGGTCAGTTGGTAAAGGAGGAGGGCTCCCCATTTCTGAGGACTAGGGGAGGGGCGGGGGAAGGAGGAAGGAGGAAGGAACTGGAATAAGATTGAGGGGCTCTACGATTAGGCTGTAAAGTGAATAAATTAAAAAGAAATAAATTTAAATCTAAACCCCCCCCTCCCCAGGGAGGAGCAGCCCTGCAAGGCCACAGAGGAGGACTTTGTAGCCAGTCCTGAAGATATCTGATAAACCAGTATCAGATGAATAGGGAGGAGGTTCTCCCCTATCAGTGGACTTGGAAAGGGGCAGGGAGGAGATGAGGGTGGGAAGGTGGGATTGGGAGGGAGAGAGGGAGTGGGATCCAGCAGGGATACAGAGTTAACAAACTGTAACTAATATTAAAAAAATAAAAATTTAAAAAAAATCTAAAAAAGGAGGGAGAAACAATAAACTTATCAGACAGTGAAAAGGGAGAGAGAAACTTCACACAGACTTGCACGTTTCCTTTCCTACGTCTCTCCACGCGTCTTTCTCAGACTTTGCCCCCATAGTCTTCTGGTTAGAATGGCCTAGGGCTCTCTTTTCCTTGTGTGTTATGTTTCATACTCTGCTGGATTGCAGCCACCTCCAATTTCTGATGACAACAAAGCACAGAATTAAAATGAAAGTAGCAGGTCCACTCCATACTTTTCATCAGCTTGGAAGCTTACACTCTTGTAAGAAGCATTTTCTTTGAGAATTTTAGATGGCATCTCATCTTCATGACCAACACTTGTCAAAGCAAGGAGGTGTGAATGGCAGCAGGAAAAACAAACAAGCAAAAAGCTCCTCTTCACTACCCATGGGTTTATGTCATCAAAGTCTTCTAAGCAAACTTCATTTTCTCTTTTCTTTCTATGAAATTTCAAAGTTGTACCATGAAATAGTGAGAGAAAATGTAAGAAACAGTATTGACTGCTCTTTGAGCTTTGATTTTTCCCAGGTTGAATGTATACTATTTATTTTCAGATCCTCATACTGTTACCAGGTTTCAGTTGTAATCGATTAGGGATATGTGGGTAGGAGGGAGCAAGTTTATGTAGAGATGCTAGAATGACAGTTTTAACCATCTCTGGGTAATGGAGAGGAGAGCAAGCGAGGAGGTTTACCAGAGCAGAAGGCTGTGGACTCATTAGGAATTTAGCATCATTCAAAGAATGTTAATGACTCCCAGACTTGAACAGCAGAGCCTCTCTTCCATTGACATCATTTTATTTTCTTCAAGGTATGAATTAAATGAGTTGGAAATTGTTACATAGATGCTTAAAGGTTGAGTGTAGAAGTAAATTTTTTTTAATTGGCAAAAAATTGTTTAAGTGTGAACAGGATTTTATTAATTGGCTCTTAAAGCAGCACTATTTTGTAATACTATGAAGTTTCTGAGTTGCTGGTCATTTTGTAATTCTGTATTCACTAAGATGAGGTAAGTTATGAAGCTGATTTAAAATAAACCAAGAAGACATTGTGAAAAAGAATAAAGAGAGCTGGATGGCACATGTCTAAAGTCAGCATGCAGGGAGACAGAGGCAGGCAGGTCTCTGTGAGTTTGAGGCCAGCCTGGTCTACAAAGCAGGTTCAGGCCAGCCAAGGCTACACAGAGAAACCCTGTCTTGGAAAAACAAAACAAAAGAAAGAAGAATAAAAGGGATATGCGGCCGAATCTATTCAGCTGAAAGGGTTGAGGGAGGAGAGTGTTCCTCAGACCGTACCATGTGATTTGTCTGCATGTAAAGTCATTCTGTGGGAATAGTGCAGCATCTTTGAAGTTACCCTGTGTCCTGTCTACATCTACAACTTAATCACTGGACGCTTAGCACTAGACACAATCAAGTAACTCACCTTTAGGCTTTTCTTCAGAAAGAGATCAAGCTATTAATGGAATTGAAGTTACGTGCTGAGAACCAGCGGCTTACTCTACTCACCTAAACAAGGAATTCTGATTCAACTCCAAGGGGCAAAAACTTTCAAAAAGGGAATTTCAGATATTAAGGACAGGTCTCATTCAGATGGGGAGATCTGAGTGAGAAGGAATTGTTTATAGGGTAATGTTTCCTGATGTTCCTCAATAATGCTTCTCAGTCTCTGATAGAATTTGAAAACTGAGCTATTTTCAACTGGATCCCAGTGTACAGAAATTAGAAGATATTGAAAATCATTTACCTGAACACTGTTTGAGTCGCTTGTGTGTAGTTCCTGAGAACTTTCTGTAAAAGACAGGAAAAAATTTCATATACATATACATACATATACATTTCATATACATATATGCATACATACATATATTTGTTGATATTAATCCAGTATTTTCATATGAAATCATATAACATAGGCATGTAGGGTTATTATTTTTAATGCATAGGCAATTGGGACAAGTTTGAAACAAATGAGAGATCTAGAATATTAGAGCTGGTATTTGCCTTCCGCTTGGAAATTTCTCAGGAGACACAAGCTCTGCGTGTCAGTAGGTGGACATCTACGCAAAGCCACTCAGGCCTTGTGCCTGTTTTCCTAAAGCTCAAAAGACAGATCATCAGCCATCTTTGAGCCTGGGAAGGTGAGGGAAGTTTCTGCTACTGAGCATCGGGGCCAGGTGTCTGGGCCTGCTGGGAGCAGGACTTCTAAGCAGCAAATGTGGTACAAGGCCATTTTTGCTGGCTACAAGCGAGGGCTCCGGAACCAAAGACAGCATACAGCTCTTCTTAAAATTGAAGGTGTTTATGCCCGAGAGGAAACAGAATTTTACCTAGGCAAGAGATATGCTTATGTGTATAAAGCAAGAAACAATGAAGTGACTCCTAGAGGGGAGCCAAACAAAACCAGAGTGATCTGGGGAAAGTAACTCGGGCCCATGGGAACAGTGGCCTGGTTCATGCCAAATTCCAAAGCAGCCTGCCTGTGAAGGCCACTGGACACAGAATCCGTGTGATGCTGTGCCCTTCCAGGATTTAAACTAAAGAAAAGTAAATAAATAAAAGTGGATTTGTGCTCAAACAAGGATTGATAATCTTACTCCATGTCTGCTCTCTTGATTATCTTTTTTAGGTGTATAGATTTCATTATGTTTATTATATCTTATAGGTCTATATAAGTGAGTATATACCGTGTTTGTCTTTCTCCTTCTGGGATATTTCACTCAGGATGACCTTTTCTAGATCCCACCATTTGCCTGCAAATTTCATGATTTCCTCCTTTTTGATTGCTGAATAGTATTCCATTGTGTAAAAATACCACAATTTCTGTACCCATTCCTCCGTTGATGGACATCTGGGTTGTTTCCAGGTTCTGGTTATTACAAATAAAGCTGCTATAAACATGGTTGAGCAAATATCCCTTTTGTGTACTTGAGCAAACTTTGGGTATATACCTAGCAGTGGTATAGCTGGGTCTTGAGGAAGCACTATTCCTAATTGCCTGATAAAACAGGATTAGATGAATGGGGAGGAGGTCCCCCCTATTAGTGGACTTGGCAAGGGGCACGGTGGAGATGAGGGAGGGAGGGAGGGACTGGGAGGGAATGAGGGATCGGGACATGGCTGGGATACAGAGTTAATAAAATGTAACTGATTAGAAAAAAATAAAATTAAAAAAAAGTGGATTTGTGAAAAACAAACAAACAAAAAACAAACAAACAACGGAAGAGAGATTATCTTAATGCTGAAGCTTAAGGGACCCTCCAACTTTAGCATGTCTATATTATTTAATTACAAACGGTAAGCGAGCCAGGCATGGTGACACACACTCTCAGCAGAGGTAGTCTAATCTTTGTAAGTTCAAAGCCTGCCTGGTCTCCATAGCAAATTCCAGTGCAGACAGAGCTGCATAAAAAGAGCCTGACTCAAAAACAGAACACATAAATGCATTAAAGTAGAAAGCTATGATGTTTTGAAATGGCGAGTCAATACTCAGAGAAAATCCAGTGGAATCACATCAGATCAAAAAGTTGCCTGAGTCTTCAAGGGAGATGAGCATATCATTGAAACACAAGGAAGTAGAAACTAATTTGCAAGCAAAGGTTCCTGGAGACCCATTGTCAAGGAGACAACTATTGTAGCAGAGAAACTCTGTTGAGTCTTAGCTTCATTGCTTAGAACTGGCTGACAAATTAAATCTGAATTTTCTGGCTCAGTTTCCTCATAAGTAAAATGGAAATGAGACTATTTATTTTGACTAAATTATAAGAAGACAGGAGGACATACAGTGCATTCAAGTACTATGTACTCTGTACATGCTAAGCTATCAAAACCCATCACAAATAGATATACATTATTCTTTGGAAGAAATACAGATTCCAGAAAAAAAGTAAAGGCAAAAATATCAGACAAAATTAGTAACTTTACGATTGAATAGTTATATTCCTTAGGGATTTGATTCTACTTTATATTGTACACAAGTGAACTGACTTTTGTTTTGAAATGATTGAAAATATTTGGGTTTAACATGAGGGCCATAACTGTGGACACCAGTTGTTGTTCTTGTTAATAACGTTACTACAACACGTAGGCATTAGGACCATCTACTCAGCTGCACTGGTTAAGAGTTATATAAAAGTTCCAGGTATTTAATCAGCTCAGCTATACACACTTACTTGAGATTTTGTTTTGTATTGTATGAAATTAGGCATAAGCGTGTTGAACCTGACCTCCCCATTGAAATTTATATTGAAATGCCCAACAATTCATGTTTTCTCAGCTTCAATGTCCAATGGACACTTTCGTCTCATAACAAACTGTTTCACATTCTTCCTCTCTACTCCTTTGCTTCATTCATTCCTGTATCATTCAATGTTTTTAACATCTAGATGCCAATATGCTGTTTTAGGCTTTGATGAACATCAATCCAGCAAGCTTATGTTCAAAGAAGCAGTCAGGATTAAATAATTAAAAGACACAAGCATTTAGACAACTGCACTGGAGAAAAGTAAAGCAAATACATGACCTAGATAAGGCACAGAAGGCCATTAATTTCAGTCTCAGGGGCTGGGATTAGAGGAGACCTCTCTGGGAAAGTGAAATGGAAAAAGTCTAAGGTGAGAAAAGAATAAGACAGGCTAAAGAGAAAGAATACTCCAGAAGTGAAAGGCTCTTCGGGATGGAAGGACAGCGGAGTTTTCTGGGGCAGAGGAAGCCACAAGGGAAATGGAGGTACAAAAGGTAATCAGGACAGTGATGAGCTAATGATGGAAGGTCTTGAAATAATGTCTCTTCAAATAATGTCCTTAGTAAAACAGAAAGGACTCTTCAACCTCTGGATTTATCTAATGTTCTTATCCTTGGACTCTTCACCTCAAGCTAACAGGTAAATCCCCAAAGAAAATGCATAATACAAACACCAAAGCAAGACAAAGCCAAATAATTCACCAAATTTCACCACAAGGAGCGAGCCCTAGTGCGCACTTGCAGACAGGACGTGCGCTAAGGAGTGAGAGCAGAGACCAGCACTAGGCAGTTCCCGGCCGGATCTTAGAACCTGGTTCAGAGCTCGGAAATCTCCCTGGTGACTGACATCATGCGTACAGATTGTGATACCTTAATGGTGTTCAAACAGAATTACAACTAACAATGGTGAAAACTACCCCTGCACCCAAGTTGAGAGAAAACTACCCCTATACCACGTTGAGTAGGTTTCAGGGCAGCAGTCAGGATACGTTTGTGGCTTGAAGTTCAAGCCCATACTGTAGTAAAATCGACCCCTATACCTCTTCTCTGTAGTGCTATTATCTAGTCAGATTTATCTCCCAAGGTCTGAACTAATATTGGACTAAACCATTCTAAATATGGGGTAAGAAGTCCATAAAAGCTGATATTTTAAAAAGTGAAGCAGCTCATTCTAGCCAGACTTGAAAGTGAACACTCTAGCTAGTCTTTAAAGGGCCTCTGCATCCTAATAGGGGTGCGCTCTGCTGGAACAAAGCATAACTTCTCCACGAGAAAAATTAATCCAGTTCTAGTCCAGATATAAAGCTAGCATAACAATACATGCTTCTTTTCTCCCAGGAAGATGGTCATGATAAATTTACATACTTCTGATCAAATTCATGTAAGACAAAGTGTTCAGCTAGTTTTATTAGCTGGCTGAAATGATAATGGATGCTTCCCCAAAACAAACATACTAAATAGAAAAATAAACACTTTCAAGGTTGATAACTAACGTTTTCTAACCTAAGTAATTAGGCTATCACAATAGTCAACAAAGTTTCTTGTTCATCAGTTTTTAAAAGTTAAGAAAAATATCCAACCTTCTAATGCATTAGCCTTTGGATCTGGTACACATTCTTCTGCTTCACTAAAATAAAAAGAACAAATTTTAATGTGCACATTTAAGAGATGAAGAAGATACTGGCTGAGAACACTATGTCATTCTTCCTGTGAACACAAACATGGGATAGCACGTGCTGTTTCATGTCATGAGAACACTGGCATTGCTGTGCAGACCTCGCTATCTCATGCCTCCTGACCATGCTTTGTACTTAAACAGTGATACCCCTTCTTCTTTTATACCTCCAGGAAGTCACTATTTTACTTTGTGTCTTAAGGATTTTGACTACTCTGGATGAGCAGCATCAAAGCTACGTTTGTCATTTTGTGATTTAATTAGTCCAACGTCATCCACATTCATGTGTACTGCAGCAAGTCCTGATCTTCTTTAAATAGTGGGTATACTCTGCAGGATTTGTGAGAGCTCATCCACTGACAAACATTGCATGTTGCTTACTTTGCTGCTCTGTTGTGAATCTTGCTGCTTTGGATACAAGTTCACAAATATCAGCTGCAGTACCTGCTTTCAGGTCTTTGAGAAATATACTCAAAATTTCTGGGTCACATGCTTGTGGCATGCTAAGTTCTTTAGGAAAGCTTCACACTTCTTTTAACAGTGATTTCACAATTTTATAATTTTACCATCAGTGCATAAAGGTTTCAATTTCTTTTCATCCTCAGTACTCATTTTCTTTCCTTCCTCCTTACCTTCCCTTTTCCCTTCAGCTATTCTCATGGGTTCAAATGGCATATTCTGTGATTTCAATTTGCATTTTCTTAGTGATTAGTGATGTGGAGTAACTTTCATGTACTTTTTGTACATCTTTATAGAGGATTTTTCTGTTCAGGTATTTTGCATTTTTATTGTGCTGTTGTTTTACTTTGAGGTATGAAACTGAGCAGGAATCTTTCTGTGCTGATCCTAAGGATATCTTTCAGGTTTTAACAACAACCTCAAACAACAACAGCACCCTATCACATTAGCAAGTATCTGATTCAAGACATTTATCCGCTGGGGAGCAGGTACTGAGACAAATATGTGGTAGAGAAGTGAAAACACAGCATCGCATGCTGAGAGAAAACTTAAGACTTCTAGCAGAGTGAACACATGGAGTCAGAAGTGAGGGCTTGGTGATGGGCACTTTCTTAGATCCCGCTTTCCTACCAGCCCCATTCTTCCCATAAGCCCTACTTTCATCAAGTTTGTATTTCATTAAGTTTTATCTACCTGGAAAGAAGCTCGTCTTGGTTGTATGATGATGAACTCATAATTCTGTGTATGAAGTGCTGTGTTGGTTCAGTAACATGGATTTCTTCTTTCTGTAAAATACAAATCAGGTTTTATATGCAATAGAGCTTGATATATACTTTCTCCCCCATTGGAATTTTTGTATCCTAGTCAATATTTCAATGAAAGTTTTAGAGAGTACTTTAAATATTATTTAAAAATTAATAGACGTATAAGTCTTTTTAAACGGCTCTGTAAAGATATTCTACATTATACTAGGTCTTGAACACATTTTAAACATAAACCTAGTATAGCTATTGAAAATATACAATCTATTTTTAGACTTTAAAATACTTTAATTGCAGTTTATTGTATTAAATAAGAGAGCAGAGCTACAACTTTAGGCTTCCCATACTCTTGTCTGATCAGGCATTTTTAGCACATACTCTGATCTGTTTGTTGGCAAATTCAGTGCTTCTGGTTTGACTGTAGTTACATGTGTTTATTTTCTGTAGTTTGCTGCAGCTTTTGTGCTAGCCTAAGAACAAAAGCACAAAAACTGTGTTAAGATGTTTCATTAAGGCAATTGTATCATTAGGAAATCCCACATCATGTGATTTTCCAAACATCTGATTAGTACAGACTTGTGGACAGGGTAAAACCAAAAGGGTCGTTGAGTCTCTCCTCACTTGACAGCTTGATGCAGTAACACAAACTGTGTGCTCAATCATGATCAAGAACTTTAATGGATGAATGTAAAAATGATGTCAAAATACTTTGAATAACTTGTTACGTGTAGAAAATATGTGGAAAAGTATATTTAAAAACCTTACATTTACCATGCAACTTCTAAGAAAGGTGACATAACTTTTTATTAAGTGAAAGCATGAATTCGAACCAAGATAATGGTTTTCTTTTTGTTATTATTTGTTTTCATTACTGCGGATTGGGCCTACGTCTAAGCAAATGCTATGCAACCATATGGCTTTCCACAGATCATTTATAACTTCTTTATAACTCAGCCAGCACATCTGGATTCATCCTATTGATGTAAGGTTTTCTATGGATGTGCAACAAATATGTACAGCCAAATACAAAATGCAATCCATTGTTTAATTAATGAGGCTGAATTTCCTTAAGCAGTTTCCATTTTCCATTTTTCCTTCAGCTAGGAGTAATAGGTTTCTTTCTATCAAATAGTTAATTGAGTTTCATGTTCTGTTAATTATTTAATGTACACTATATATCTGCAGACCTATGCAGATAATGACTCTCCCTTAATATGCTTTGCTGGATAATGAAGGTGAAGCCTAGAAGAAAAATGGATGAGTTGTTCACCTTCCCGACTATGGGGAGTTTTGTGTGTGACCTACCTTATATTGTGTCTTGTCCCTACAAGATGATGCTTCTGCCAGGCTTTTGGGAGAGGACACACGGAGCTCAGAAGCAGCTCTTTCAGCCTGTGTCTCACTGGGTGCTGTCTGATTTCCAGTTGTTTCAATGATTTCAATATTTTCGCCAGATGTGGGATGACAGCATTTGCTTAGTGATAAGAACTTTCTCAGGCTGCTTGTGCTCGTCTTGGGAGAAACAACTTGGGTTTCTACGGGTTTCACAACTTCTTGAACTTGGTCTTCAGAAATTTCTTTTAAACACTGGTGTCCAACAACCTCTCCCAAAACAATCTCCTCCTCATCAGAAACGATGCCCTCTCTGAAGCTACTTTCTGAATCTTTTTGACCAATATCATGAGCTACTAACCGAATAATCAGATCTTTTTTGCTATTAATATCCTTCAAAAGTTCTACTCTGGTGATATCAGGCCTTCTTACATTTTGAAATGAATTTCTGCCAACAGCCTAGAATTAAACATACAATCAATATTAAAAATAAATATCTCAATTACTTCTCAAATATTACTTTGTATCATAGCTATTTTTTATGATTTCTTACTTCAATCTAGCAAATCTCTTCAAATACCTTTTACTAATATATTTTCATTATTTTAAAAGAAGTTTAGATAAAAACTATGCAGTACTTGCTTTTATCTAGCATTATTTTTACATTGAGATATTACTCTGTCATAGCTTATTCCAAATATCTTGTCTAACAGAATGGTTTAAGTTATACATTTTATTTTAAAATAAACCTGATGTTTTCTTTTTGTCATTTTTCTTAAAAATTGTTATAGAACTACATAATTAACTTGTATTTTATGTTCTCAGTAAGGAATTCTGTGTAAATATAGACATTCATTTTTAATGAAATAGCAAGACTTTACTTCGACTGATAAAAACAATGACTCCCTGAGATCATGATCTTCAGATAATTTTTTACCCTACAATCTTATTCTTTGTTTTTTGGCAAAAATATGTAAATCTTCATTTCTTTCTCATATTTCACTCCAATTACTCAAATTATCTCACTCTTAATTTTATAAATAAATCCAAGAAAAGGTTACTGTAATTCAATAAACAGATCACTTCACTTCTGTAGCTTTTCACTATATCATAGAAATTATAAATTACTTTATAACTAATCTTTGACTCAACCTTCCTTTGCAGCTTTCCAAACCGTATTTCCAAGTGATAACATTTTAGAAATAGTGTGACCTCAAGATCTAGCTATAGCACTCCTATGCATATATGCAAATTATTCTCAAGTACACAACAAAGACATTTGCTCAACCATGATCATAGGAGCATCCATCAACTGAGGAATGGATACAGAAATTGTGGTGCATTTACACAATGGAAATCTACTCAGCAATTAAAAACAAAGAAATAATGAAGTTTACAGGCAGATGGTGGGAACTAGAAAATATCATCCTGAGTGAGGTATCCCAGAAGTAGAAACAGATGGTATATACTCACTTATAAGTGTATATTAGACATATAATATAGGATAAACATACTAAAATCTGTGCACCTAAAGAAACTATGCAAAAAGGAGGACCGTGGGTAAGATGCTCAATCCTCATTCAGAAAGGCAAACAAGATAGACATCGGAAGAGGGAGAAAACAGAGAAGAGGACAGGGGCCTACCACAGAGGGCTTCTGAAAGACTCTACCCAGTAGGGTATCAAAGCAGACGTTGTGAATCATAGCCAAACTTTGGGCAGAGTGCAGGGAACCTTATGAGAAAAGGGGAGATAGAAATACCTGGAAGGGACAGGAGCGCCACAAGGAGAGCAACAGAACCAAAAAATCTGGGCACAGGGGTCTTTTCTGAGACTGATACTCCAACCAAGGACCATTCATGGAGATAACTTAGAAACTCTGCCCAGATGTAGCCCATGGCAGCTCATTGTCCAAGTGGGTTTCCCTAGTAATGGGAACAGGCACTGTCTCTGACATGAACTCAGTGGCTGGCTCTTTGGTCCCTTCCCCCTGAAGGGGGGGGCATTACCAGGCCACAGAGGAAGATAATGCAGCCAGTCCTGAGGAGACCTGATAGGCTAGGGTCAGATAGAAGGGAGGAGGACCTCTTCTATCAGTGGACTGGGCAAGGGACATGGGATGAGAAGGAGGAGGGACGGAGGGAGGGGGGCAGGGAAGGGGCTACAGCTGGGATACAAAGTGAATAAACTGTAATAAATAAATAATGAGAAAATCTTCTGTGGAAATAAATTATTTAGCAGCAATTCTTTAAATATTGTAAACAATTAACTTTATTTGTTATATGTAAAAAGTATTAATGTTAGAAAATCCAAATACATGCAACATGGTTGTAGATTTGTTACTGAAGATGGTTTAAATATGTCTCATTAGGTAAAAAGTATGGCCTCTCTAAGCAGAGTATTAGTGTTAAACCATGAGGCAAAGCCAAGAGCCTAAAGTACCTGACCTACAGGTTTTGTTTATGTTTTTTTTGTTTGTTTGTTTGTTTTGGTCTGTCCCTTGGTTGACAAAGGACATGGCACACTCAGACTGGCGTGTGAGATTTCTGTGCTCCGAATTCTACATGGCTGCTGATTGTTTATTACTGTTGTTGTTTTTCTACTACTACTATTACTGCTGCTGCTATAACTAATATTATTATTAAATGAATTTTCCCCTCAAAAAAAATGTGGTATTTGTTTTTGTTTAAACTCACTGTTTTCTGTTGCTTGTATGTGACCTAAGTAAAGTTGGTAACCAGGAAAAGGGTTTGTTATGGATGGCTTTATAGATGATAAAGATTTATTTTAATAATATTAGAAGATGTCCGTACAAAGTTTACTCTCAGGGAATTGATTATGTATAAATGAATGCTGCATAAATATATGCTAATGTAGCAATGAAAACTCAGAGAAAGAAATTGGAAGGCTCAAAGGGACTATCATGTATTGTTAAAAATAAATGACATCAACAGAAGTATAATTGCACAGTAATTTTAGTATTTCAGCTTGAAAACATAAAGCACACACCTACAGTTTTAGCACTGAGAGGCAGAGGCCTGATAGTCAGAGGCAGCTCACGAGAGCCTGGGTTAACTTTTTTCTGGAGATACATGGACAAATATCTGCTCATCTCAAAGAGAGCACAGGGATAGAGTAAAAATGCCGTAGAAACAAACAAGCCACCACTGCCGCCACCACCAAACAATTCCGCCCAACTCTAGCTTATTAGTTTTACTCAAACTTGTGAGTTTACCGTGGCTGTTTACAGTAATATGGGTGAGAGATTACTTATAGAAGCACATATTAGTACAAAATCCCACCCCAGCATGGGTGATGAGTCACTCTGATTTCATCCCTTGGCTCCCTGGACAGTTTCCAGGTAGCTTTCCACTGTCTAGTGGCTGTTACTGCTGAAATGATGTTGAGGAGAATCTTGTGAATCTTATAAGCCCCAGGAGCTTCCTGAGACTTGAAAGTGTTATTTAATAACACTTGAGTCTTAATAAGCCTCTATCTAAATCAGAATGTTATATTTGGAAGAAATAGCTAAACATCACCAGCCTTCATAATGAGTTCTAGGTTGGTCAGGTCTAAACAATGACTCTGTCTTCAACAACACAATCAAGCAATCAGACCAACCACTAATTAACTTATTATCAGCCATAAGACTTAATCCAGAGATTTTTTTTTACGTCATTCTGGCAAAAAAAAAAAAAAAAAATTGAAGTGTTTATTCTTGAGAACAGAGAATATAGTTTTATACTTGCGTCAGTGCAATGGCAGACTACGTCCATTTAATGAATAAATAAAAACCAACAACAAACAAGCCCTCAAAAATGAGCACATTCAATGTGAGGAGTTTGAGTAGAACCCCCTACCAGGAATGGGTTGTTTCTTATTTAGCTGTAGCTCAAGGGGCCTATGGGAAGGGGTCCTAAGACCCCTCGAGACACTGGAAGGCTATCGGGTACCGTACCCTCCACAACCTGACAGTAAAATACCCTAGACAGCACATGGAGAGAGAGAGCTGGTGCCTGACTAGAAGCTTCGTTTCCTAACTACCGACTGGCTTCCATGGCACATAAGGCACTGTGCATGCTGCCAGAGGTAAACAGCAGTTTTCAGTATGGTCTACCTGCAGACCATGGAACACACAGCAGTGACCTGACCAGCGGCACAAAGTTAGGGCAGTAGCTAAATTTTTGCTTACATGTAAACTTAATGAGATAGAACCCAGTGCTGCTCACGTGGCCAAGAACCCGAGACTAGAGAGATCATTGGCTTAGCAGGAAACCTGTCACTATTCCTTTGGTAAATAAAATGATCTCTCATGGACATATGGCTATACTCATAGCAATCCTTTTGTCAGAGAATAAGCTTCTTGGTAATTAACACAGAGATCCACGACTGGAAAGTGTAAAGAAAGTAAGAGACTCAGCCCTAAAGGGGGTGTCTATGCCAAACCCCACCCTCAAGACCCAGGGATCTGTGGAGAAGAGGAACCGCCAGGGTCACAGGTGTCTCCTAGACAACGCAGCAGCGCTGTTGAACCTATGAATTCACAAGGAGGGTGACAGTATGACAGGGCCTGCACAAGTGTAGATCACAAAACCTTCCGGGAGTGAGGAGAGAGAGTGGGCACGCAGTCATCCCTAAGCCCTGTGTAAGTGCTCTCACGCTGAGAAACGAAAAACCAGTGCTCCCTGATGGAGTGCTCTAGGGTGCAAGCACAGCCAGGGGCACACTCATGGCCAAGGGTCCTGGCTTGTGCAAACTGAACTCTGGGGATTTTTGTGTGCTTTTTTCTTTTGGGAGTTTTTGTCTTTTTTTTTTTTTTTCTGCTTGTTTTGTTATTTTTCTTCATTTTTTTTTTCCTAATAGAGAGACGGGAAGAAAGAATATGGGATTGTCTGAGTGGGAAGGTATAGAGGATTTAAGAGGAATTTGGGCTGGGATATGATTAAAATATACCATATGAAAAAATTTAAATAAAAATACAAGAAAGAGAGTCCTGTGGCGCCTTAAATAAACTTTATATACATGCTTTTATAAATTTTCAAATAAAATTACACTTCAGTCATCCTAGTGTTCATAAAGACACATACTTACATTTCCATGCTTCAAAAACTATTTGTAGTGGGTTATCTTATGGAAACTAGCCTTAGGCCTTTCTTGTGAAATATAGAAATAATATGGCAAGTCCTTGAAAATCATGACTGTGGAGATGAGCCGGTGTACACAGTTCCCCTAGGAGAGGAAGAGAGGCCTAGAACCGGCTCGTTCGCGTCCTCTCCCTTGCTGAGCTACTTACCTCCAAAGGTTTCACATCAAGCCGGCCCGTCCTGTCCAGTGAGATGCGCCTTTCTTTTTGTCTGGTTCCTAATTCGGACACATCCTGGGAAGAGGGGCCTTTTCCGCTTATGGATGCTCTTCTCAGCTCCGCGATGCTGCGTCCAGTTCTCCTTATGCAGTCCATCTTAAGTGTCTCCAGAGGCTGGGTTTTCATAGAAATGACCGCCAAGTGTTCGGAGATTATGTTTGGATCTATTCTCAGTGGTTTATTCCTGATGTGTGGAATTATTCTAACCGGAAGTTGGTCTCCTAATAAATCGTCGAACTCTTTGTCAGAGTCAGAGGCCATTTGTGCCGTATGCTTTTGTGCCTTTTCAATGATCCTGTCTGTGTCTAGATCTCCAAGAGCAGAGTAAGAGCTCTTTGTGCTAACTCTACTTAACGGAGCGCTTGAAACTCCATCGACAATTAAGCTAGCCACTTTTTTAGGGAAAACCTTTGTACCTTTCGTATCATTGGGTTCGTTATGGGATTCAGATTGCATTATTACATTACTATAAACAGACTCAATAATCTGAGAAATCATTTCAATATTTTCTGGATCTAATGATTGTTCTTCAGGATTTGAATCCACAAGACTAATGTTACTTTTGGAGATTTCAGCGGATACAGACTTTGTCAGCTGAGATGCGATCGTATTTAGCTCGGGCTTTGTTAAACTGTCTGTGTCTTTGCTTGCCACACCAGGCTTCCTTACTAGTTTAGCCAAGAACAAGGCCAACGCTTCTTCTAAAACTTTAGAGTCTAATATTAAATCCTTTACAGATGCAGATTTTTCCTGGGATTTAAGTTCGTCGATAATTTTCACCACTTTTTCCATAATTTTGACAGCTTCTAGAGCCAATTCTGAGCTTGGAAGTTCTTCCTCTCCTTGAGGTTGAAATTCAGAATTGGAAATCTCCTTCACCATTGAAAGTCCTATTATGTCAGAAAGGACATCACTCTTACCCATTAAATCTTCAAATACAGAGGTAGGAGAGCCAGAGTGTTTTAAAAGATTGGCATAAACCGAATTAACTACCTTCTCAATAGCCGCATTGTCAGCTGAAGGCGCACTGTCCGACTCCTTGGCAGGCTGCACAACTTTGATCTTACTTTTGGAGATAAATTGTTGGATTGAATTTACTATTTTTGAAGCTATGTTTTGCATATCTGTTTCTTCAGAGTTAGTTATTTCTGTTTGCACTTTTGGAAACACAGATAAAAGCTTGGATAAGAATTTTACAGCAATTGCTTCTATTACGTCACGCGACAGTTTATGCGGGCGCGACGGCTGTGTTGGAGTAGTTAAGGCAACATTGGTGAGGATGTTTTCAACAACATTGTCCACTTCTGCACACTGATATGGAGTCAACTCGCCACCAAAATAGTTCTGTAACTGGTTGCCAGCCACTTCTCGTAGAACTAAGTCAACTATGGTTCGTGAGAGGAGCTTGCATCCACTGACGATACAATTTTGTAAGATTTCCTCAGATCCAAACTGTGGCAGAAGATTATTATAAATTGTCTGAACCACCAATTGAACGACTTCATCATCATTTGGATGCAAGGATTCTACGTACTGTATATCCAAATCTTCATTTTTGGAAATCTCATCTGCAACTGTACTTACTAACTTCATTTGAAGGAATTCAAGTTGTGTCAACAGATTTTCTTGAGGTATTCTAGTTTTGATATTGTATAGTTGTGAAAAGACTTTTGCTAAGAGAGCAGAAATCACATCATCTAGAAACTTGAAAGGCAACTTTATGGTGTACGGAGATGAGGTCTGGCATTCTTTACTGACTGTCTGCACCACCTTTTGGACCTTTTCCTCAACATCCTTGGACTCCAGAGGCATGCATGCTGAAGCTGGTATCTCATCAGAAAGTAGCAGGTTGAGCTGATGCTGAAAAATTTCATTTATCACTGTGCCAGTTAATCTTTTTGCTAGATTTTCCCCATTATTGTTGATGTTCTTGCAAACAGACTCTTGAGATTTACATTCCTTTAAAACATTACAAACACAAGAGTGAACAATTTTGTTCACTACGGCTTTTTCAATCGACGGCATTCTGTTACTGGGAGGCACCTCATCGAGGGAGGATTGCTCAGATGTTGGAATGTGTGGTGCTTTGTCCCCTCCTTCAGTGCTCATGCTGCACGGTGGTACTTCCGGGGCTGCCTCTTTGAACCCAGGAGGGACCATCTGACCTGATTCTTTGACCACTTGTGGGGCTATCTCTTTTTCCTCTTCTGGCCTAAATACTTTAAGTTCTGCATCTGAAAATTCCTTCAACATCGAATCGATGAGTCTCATAGCTATGTCAAAAAGTTCATCTTGATTCTGATTATCCTTTACATCTGTAGCTTTATCACACTTTTGTGTTTCTGGTGGAAATGCAAATACAAGTTTGCTCACCATTTCAATGATCACATCTTCTAGAAATTTAGCCGGAACAATCCCAGGTTTACTCTCCAGTGAGGATGGAGGATGCTCCAGCATACGAGGCTGAATTTTAATGTTTTTCTCTCCTTTTATCTCACTCTTCTCTGCTTTTCTTTTCTTTTCTGATTTTTTGCTTTCCTTCTTTTTGGCAATGGAGTCTTTGCTAACTGATGGGGACAAATCCTTTGTTGGAACAGGCTGTGTAGGATCTTGAAGTATGGCCAGTGGTTTATCACTTACAAGGCTTCTGTTGTATGTTGGCTTGGAAAAATCCAATGCCTCTTGTGATAGCATTAAAACATTGTCATAAATATTTTCAATGACATTTTCAACACGTTCAGTTTCTGAGTTCTGTTCTCCAGGGACATATATTTCAGCTACAGTCTCTCCACACTCTTCCTTGATTGGCACCTGGGCTATTTTTATAGTTTTCCCTCTCTTGGTCTCTTTAATCTTACTCTTACTCTTGGAATTGTCATCTGTTTTCACTGAACCTTTACTGGATTTTCTGTCAATTTTCTTTTTATTGACTGTTTCAAAATCACATCTACGTGCCCCCTTCTCAGGACTATTCTCATCAGCAACTGCAAAATGGGTGTATACTTCAAGAAACTTCCCCTGCTGATTCATTACAACTAAGTTCTCTTTCTGAGTTTCATCACTTTTACATTTGTCACTCAAATGCTGTTCCTGAGTACCTTTACTTTTCCTACTGGTTTTTGACGACAGAACTTTTGAGCTATTTTCATCTTTATGACTGGCAGACTTCAGTTTTCTTTCATCATCTTTCTTTGTGTCTGTGACATCTGCAGTTGATCCTGATGTGAGGTTGATAACATTGCTTTTCATAATGTTAGCAATAGAGCTAAGTATTGGACCTTGAGTATCATCTTTTTTCACTGATGTATCTTTAGATAGAGCAAGCTGTGTCTGGTTTAAGGTTGTTTTAACCTGCGTGGATGTCTTCTCTGGTAGGAGCTGAACCCTTTGGGTGATATTTTCTGGGTCTAGAAATGAAAAGAAAGTTGAACACCAGGCTCCTGAAAATAGTGGCTGAATCTTAAATGAAGAGATAGCCTTCTGGGCCAAAGAAGAAACCATTTCTATAGCAGTGTTTCCAGTGTCACCTTTCTGAAGACCATCAGACCCAAATTTCCCTACAAACTGATCATACACAATATTTGATATCTTATCAACTGTCTCCTTCCCAACTGGTGGGAAAGAAAATATTTCTTCAGCGTGTGGTAAAACTTTAATTTCACTTTTCCTGAATTCCCGTACCAGAGAATTTGCAAAGTTGATAGCTAAGCTTACAATTTCTGCCTCTGACTTGTCCTTTTTCCTAGAATCTTCAGTAGGAGTTGCAAAAGAACAAAACTTGTGAGCAAGGTCAACAATTACGTCTTCTAAAAATGCAGCTGAAAACAAAGAGGGTTGTGCCTTTTCCTTCCCAGACTTTGCAACAACAGAAGCATCGCCATAATCAGGTATGTTTTTAGGAGGCGAGTTTTCACCATACAAAAATGGTCGCAATCGGTGATCCATCATTTCCTTAATAACGAAGCCAGCTACTTTACTGAGGAACGATCTTCCCTTTTTGTGTGCACCTTTCTGTACTTCTGCTTGGAATTCAGTTTTTTTCAAAATATTATTACATACAGAGTCAACAAAATTCTCAGAAGTTTCTTCCTGTGGGCTGGCTTCATCCTCCTCTGCTATGGCAAATCTGATCTCATATTCATAAATTTCTTTTATGATATCATCGCTCAGCTTTGAGGCTGCAGCCAGGAACTCGTCCTCCTCATCTGGCATAACCTCTTTCTCCTTTAGTTCATTTTCAGTGTCATCTGGAGGGAAGATGCTTCCTAAAAGCTTGTAAATCATATTTTCTATTAGAGAGCAAGGGAGCACTGTGATGCACGATGGCAAAGCATTGGTGTCCTTCAAGATGACACTGAGCACATTTTTGATGATGTTTGCAGCTTCAGGGGAAGAGTAAGAAGAAGGCATTAATTCTCCTGAAACTAATGACTGCACCTGATAATCATAAATTTCTTCCAATAGGAAATGGTATATTTTCCCTCCAAAACAAGAAGTGCCCTGTTGTACAGCCCTGTGTAGCTGAGTCAGAGATTTATATTCATCTAACAGATTTGCGTAAACGGAATTGACTGTCTTTTGAATCATTTCTTTATATGTCTCTGAAAACCATAGACTCTCATCCAAATGTTCTGCAACTAAAATCTCAGATGTGGTGAACTCTAAAACAATTGATTTTACTAATGTTGTAGCAATGTCCATTATTTTGGCGATTGCTTTCTCTGGGGTTTCATCAGCCAAGCAGTTCCGTATGAATGTCTGAAGAATTTTGCAGACAAGCTCAGTAATTACTTCCTCCAAAAAGACAGCTGAGTTCACAATGAACGACAATTCTCTTTGGCTAGAGTTTGTTGCTTTCGGCTGGCAGGTTCGAGCAACTGGAGCTGAAAGAATACTTTTATCTCCTGCTAAGAATGACTCTAGATGATGATTGAAGACCTCCTTTATTATACAACTTGCTATTTTTGAAACAGGTATGCTACTTAGACCTTTTTTATCTTTTGAGAGAGATTGGTATAGATCTGAACAGGAAAGATCAGCATAAATGGAATCAACCATTGTCTGAATTTCCTTTTCTGAAATCATACTCTGTTTTTCATTTCCATGTTTTACAATACATATTGCATGTTTTGAAATTATTGACATGATTTCATTTATCAGTTTTATGACTGTGTTACTTAGGTCTGATTGAGAAGAGTCAGAAAGCTCCATGGTGGAATGCGATGGGCTTATTTGAGACATAAGCCGAGTGACAATCTTCTCTAAATGAACATGAGAAAGCATGGTAGTATATATTGTTGAAGCCTGTCTTCGAAATATTGACTTACTAATGTCATGATGAACTCTGTTTACCAAAACATTTTGACTAAGTTTGGAATGAAAGCTTAAAGGCAGATTTGTTGCAACATCTGGTGGAATTTGGAAATCAAGAATTTCCGTCAGAATGATTTTGGTTATCTGAGCAGCCAATGCCTTTGTGTCATGCAGAAAATCATTATTAGGCATGGTTTCCATTTCATATTCTTCTAAAACCTTGCTGTACACAGTGTCAACAATGTTCATGAGCACATCTTTTTCTACTGGGGAAAAACACAGTTCCTCAGCATTCTCTATAGTGGTAACCTGGGCTTTTGAAAATTCCTCTGTTATCCAATATATGAGGTTTTCAGCTTTATCAAACAAAACATTTTCTGAATTTCTTGTTGACTCCACTTGTACAATGCCAACAGCCCTGTGAAATACTTTGCCTACTACCCCAGAGACCACATCTTCCAAAAAAGGTGAAGGATAAGCACTAGCATAAAATACACGCTCTTCATTATCATCAAAGCATTTGTATGATGAAGTAGACACTTGCTTTTTTTCCACAAATGGCTGAAGGTGCTGTTCACAGATATATTTAATAATGAAGCCTGCTATTTTATCGATGAAAACATCACTACTCTTTGTGATATTTTGTTCCACTGATTCTTGAGAACCGGCGTTTTCTAAAATATTCTTGAGAACAGAGTCAACGAGATGCTGGACATTGTCTTCCGAGTAAAAAAACTTGTTTTTTTCTTCATCCTTTGAAACTTTAATTTCATGTTGGGAAATTTTTCTCCTAATATCACTGATCAGATTGGAAGCAATTTCATTAAAATTTACTCCTTCTTTGTCCTTTGGAGCTCCCATGTTTGAAGCCTTTGTAGGCAATGAAGGGAAAATTTTAGATAATAGTACTCTGATCATATCTTCTAAAAATGTATATGGCAGTAATGTATTATATGGAGGCGAGGCCTGGTTTGCATTTCTAGGCTTATCAGTACTACCAAGAACATTATAAACAATGCTATCAGTCATTGAATTATAGCAGGGAGCAGATGACAAATCACCAGAAAACAAGGGGTGAAGAAGGTAGTCTGATATAGCTGCCATGATTAACTTGGAAATGTTTTCCACAAAAGCGTCACCATTTTCAGACTCGTCGATGTCAGGGTCGAGCCCGTGCTGCCTCAGAACATTCCTATAGACTGAGGTGACAAGTTCGTCCACAATATCCTCACCACCAAAGGGAAAGGACAATTTCTTATCACATAGAACAGGAATCTTAGCTTTGTCTAAGTGATTGTTCACTGAGTTTACTATTTTTTGGGTCATATTTTCCATCTCCACATTAGTACTAGGCTTAGGACTAAAAATCTTTGATAAAACTCTGGTAACGATTTCCCCTACAAACTGCTCAGGGTAAACGCTAAAGGATGATGGCCTCTGAGGTCTGTGTGACTCTACAGCTTCACTGAAAACTTCCTTGACCATGTAAGATACCTCATCCAGTGGAGTTTTGGGGCGAGACAAACTCTCTCCACACAAAAATGGCTGAAGATGGTTTTCAATAATCTCTTGAATAATGAAACTGGCTATTTGGTCAATCATAATTGGGCTTCGGCTGATTATATTTTTCTGTATTAAATCAAGAGAATCAGACATTTGTAAAATATTACTGTAAACAGAATCTACCATCTTTTGGAGGTTTTTATCTGTATGCAGATATTGATTATCACAGATAGTGAAACAGATTTTATGTTTTGAAATGGCTGACATAACCTTATTTGTTATGCAGTTGGACATTTCATTAAAATCAGAACTCATCAAATACTTTTTTCCTAAAGATGAAGGCTCAGCAGGCAGGGGAATAAGCTGAGCTAAAAGTCTTCTGATGACATACTCTAAAAATGATTGTGGAAACATGGTACTGTAATCTTTGGGAGACATGGGTTCAGAAATACATTTTCTTAGATTATTTTGAAGCTTATAGAGTATGATTTCAGCATTGAGAGTGTGGTATAAATTTGACTTGAACATTCCCTTGAAGCAAGATGGAAGCTGATAATCTACAATCTCTAACAACATTCCATTAGATATTTGTTCAGCTACTGAAAGATTATCAAACGGCAGATTATTACTACAGGTTGCTATAAATTCATATTGCTCTGAAACATTGTAATAAACAGACTCAACGATCTTAGTAACACATTTTTTATGGGCTGATGGAAAATATAAGCTTTCTTCAGGATACCTTAGAACGGTAACTTGAGCATTATTTAACTCTTTCACTACGTTGGTGATTAGTAAGGTATTTATCTCATTGAGCCAGGCTTCGGTGATGTTTATGTTTTTCCTCCACAATGATGTAGAAAGATTAAAGAACAATTCTAAGATTATCTCCTCCAGAAATGTGGCTGAATACACACCACCACTTACACCTCTTTGATACAGATTATGAAAGGATACTGAGTTCATTCTCCGTGCTTCCTGTCTGTCAGGACAAGACAAAGACAAAGGCTTTACGGCACATTGTTTGCCAAATGGTGTTTGACTTTTAAAGTTAGTTGTATTTAAATTATTAAAGGACCTGGCAAGAAAATTATTGTCATAGGTCACAAACTCTACATCGGCTTTAGTTGATTCTGTTCCTATTAATTCTTGCCCTTTTGCTTTTGGGAAAAAAGGCTCTATTTTGCTTGTTCTGTAGTTCATGTATTTGTTTTCAAAAGGAGTTTGTTGAAAACCATGAGATAGCTTATCCATCAGAGACTTAACCAAGCTGTGGGAAATAAAATTAAGTATACAGTCTGAGGATAATAAATCTTGATCCATGTCTGCCAGATTTTCCAAAATGTCTGACTTGTAATCTCCTTGAAATTGTTCATAGTCCATTGGTGCCTTAGGATAATCAAAACCTCCACCTTGAACATTTTGAAGTACTTTCAAATGTTGACATTCTTCTGCTACTTCACGAAAAAGTGAACTATCCTCAAAAAACGCAGGGCCTGTGCACTTTTCTAGAAGTGTTCTAATAAGCTTCTCACACACAATGTTGAGAAGAAAAATTGATTTAGGGGAGAGCCCTAGACTATTTGTAATGATTCCATTACTTTGTTGATTATTTGAGGAGAAAAATGTTCTTGCTAGTTTACTGGGACTTATCTCATCATCTGGAGATTCATCTGGTAAAAACAAATCTAAAACAATATTAAAGACTTCATTGACGACTTCTTTGGATTCATGAGATTTTAGGCTACCAACCAGACTGTTCAACCTAGATGAGAGGCAATTTAATTTATTTCTCTGAGAAAGATGATCAGTTCGGTAAGATGATTCCCAGTCCCTGGGGCCTATCTGACTTCCCATGGTATTGACTTTGTTGAAAATGGGCACATTATTTCTAAATGTGGAATATGACTTGTTTCTTACATTATTTTCAAAATGATTCATTCTTAGTACTTTGGACAACACAAAAATCACCCCTTTTAAGAGATCTTGAAAGATATCATCAAAGTCACAAGGTATCACTCCTGGACAGAACATATACTTTGCTTTTATGGAAGCCTGGTGGGCCTTGTCAGCAATTACCACGTTGCCATTAGAAAGAATTTCAATAATAACTTCGAATATACTTAAGGCAAGTTCTCTAATGGAAATAGACCTGCTCTCATGTACTTGAGAATGAATTGAGATATTTTTGTAACCTATTGCATCTTGGACTTCCCATGGTTTCTCTTTGCTACCTTCTTTGGTGCCATCACAAATGTTTGAAATTAGGTACCAGATAACTGATTCTGAGAGATGCTCACAAAACTGATAAATTGAAGAATTACTGTATATGTTTTTTAGAGGCTCTGTTGCGGCATTTTCTCTCTTTGAGGGTGAAGATACATGAGACAACTTTTCCTCTGTTGAAACTACAAAAGAGAAAGAGAACCATAAACACAAGCACTTTGAGTATGGTTTATAGAAAATATGGAAAAATTAACTTACTGGCAAAGCATTTTGACTTTGAACCACCTTACTAAAGTCAAAGACAAAACTTAATTTAAAAAAGAAATTGGACTTTTCCTAAATGCTTTTCAGTTGTGAATCTTAGGCTGTCTGCTAAGAAAGCAGACATTTCACATTCAAATCATGTCATGGGTTGATGTCTCTCCCCTGATTGTATGACAACTAAGAGACCAGATTTTTAAGTCTACTGAAACATGTTGCCATAGCTCCAGTGATATGATTACTTAGAAGTGTATTAGGTCAAATGTTTGATGTTATGCTGCATTTAATTTTAAGATGTAAAAATTTTTCTCACACTATCGGCGTGAATAGGTCACGCGCACATCAACTCCAGAATGGTCTGTGATAAACTGGAGCGGCAGCAGCATGCACACCTACTTTGCACACTTTTCACCTCCTGACGCATGCCCGAGCAAAATTTTCTGGTTCACTTTTTTTCTCCTTTCCCCCCTATCTGTAGGCCTGGAGGGGAAATAATGGGTCTTTTAGATGTGACACATGAAACAGTTAACTTAGTAACATTTTTGTGTGCCATGGAAGTTTAGAAACAATCAACTAGTTACTGTGCTTTTCTAAAGTTATTTTTAAAAAAACAAAATGTAGACTCTCAGACAGGGGATCCTTTAAATACATCTTTTACTGTTTTGCCAAATTATTCCAGTTTAGAAACTAAGTTATCTCTTGCCTACCTTCAGCTCTGAAGTTCTTCAAATATGTGATCACAGACGTAACAACATGTCTTGCCACCAAATGCATTTCATTCGGACCCAGTTCGTGATCAGCAAAAACAATGGTGTCAGTTTCCTCCAAAGTCTCTGCTGTCGCTTTGGGGGGTTTACTTTTTCTCCATTTGCGTAATAAAGGAAAATTCTCTTGACAGGGTTCAAGATCTCTATGTTCTCCATCATGTACGCATGTCATTCGTGCACACCACGTTCTGAGCAAATTTTCATTCATTTGTCCTTCATATACTTCAGACAGAGAATTCTGCTTTGACATAAAGAATGGCTTCATGGTCTCCACGCCTTCCTCAGGGTGTGGCTCTTGGGGAAAGCCATAGCTGGACAGTACAGTGTTCACTATATTTTCCGCAGCTAAGCATATCCTAAGCGGAGAAGCATTTGTCTGGATCTCATCTGGCTCAGCTGGATTGGTGGCCTCGTAATGAAAAACCCTCGGGTTTGTACCTTTCCCCATTTCTATAAACGACATGACTTGTTTCAGTGACTCCTCTGTGGAATCGCTTGCTCTTTTAAACAATTTTTGTAGCATGCTGCCTTCAGGGAGAAAGCTGTTACCTCTTGAGGATTCCTCAAAATGTCCAGGGTTTAGTGTCCTGTGGCTGTGGTCCTGTGACTTGCTTCTAGAACAGGATGGCCCAGCTTTTGAGCTGGGCCTTCCCATTGGCTCCAAGCTCTGAACTGCGTTTTCTCCGTCGGCACTGGTGTGGACAGCACTGCACTTTTCATTCACGCCACCCTCTGAGTTAGGCGCCCCGCCAGGTACCTGGCTTGGCGCAGTTTCACTCCTTCCGTTGATGCCCCTCATTGTGGATGAAGACATTTTCACATCAGCTGTGAATCCAACCTCATTAACAATGTAAACATTCTCGGTTCCTTTGAACCAATTTTCGCTTGCAAGGTTTGTGATCAAAGACTCGCTGAAATGAGTACATTGGTCTATCAGTGTACCAATAATCTCACTTGCAGCAATATTCTCGCTCAGTATGCTGGCCGGAGATGGTTCCATTTGGCTTATTTCCTTGTCTAGCTTATTCTTGATTAAACTAAGCATGTCACTGACAGTAGTGACAGAATATGTAAGTAATTCTGAATGGAATAAATGAACCTGTAGGAGTGTATTTTGCACATTATCCTTGGATACATTTGTACTTGACTTTGATTCATCACCAAAGGCTCGAAATGGCTGTAACTTCGGCAACATCTTTTTGCTTAATTGTCTCTGTTGCACTTGAAAAAGATTGTCTATAGGTATTTTCACAATTTCAGAAAACTCATATTTAGAGATATGCTTAAACTTCAGGTCCACAAATGACTCCAACATGGTTAAGACTCTTTGTACAATCTCTGGTACAATGCGGTTGCCTGGGCTCATTGTCACTTGGCCTTTCGTCCTCATGTTGCAGGTCTTTGCGTTGCTGAGGAGGCGCCTGCCTGGGACACCATACTTACCTTTCACGGCAGCGAGTTCTTTCCCACTGGTTAAAGTTCGCTTACTGTCTTGAGTCGGTATCTGAGACAGGAAGCAGAGCTGTAATTTTTCAAATAGCATCTCTACAATTTCCCGTCCAAACATATTGATTTGTGCTTTTGTGTCTGCAGCTCTCGTAGCGCTGCCTTTAAAACGGTCATAGAGTCTGTTTTCATAGTCTTCAAGAGGTGGCAAATTTAAAAGTGAAAGTGAGTACTCTAAATCTTTTGCTTTAATTGAAATTTCAGTCAAAATGTTTTCAGCTATGGTTAAAAGTTTAGACTTTTCATTTTCTGTTTCACTTGTTTCTGTTTGCCATTTGTCAAACATTGTTTTAAATATACCTTCTTTAGGAAAAATTTGTTCTAGTTGTGAAGAAACATTCTCTAAGTAAAAACATGCCTGTTTCTCCGCAGGTGAACCTGCACCCAGATTCTGCTTTGGTAGGGGAAGGTCATCCAGATGTGAGAGGTTAACTGGAGAAGCCAAGTCATGGTCGTTTGCAGTGTGCAGCTCCTGCAACACCGAATGAACAATTTCACTTGCTTCAAGCATCTGCTCAGATGGTAAGGCTTTCGGAGTCACGCTGGCTCTGCTCTGTGCAGCTCTTTCAAGGTCTTTCATAATTATTTCTAAGATATCAGTTATTATATCCTTCGCATAAATTCTTAATTCTGAGACTGGGAGCTTTGTTTTCAGTATGGTTTTGGCATCCTCTGCAGGTGGAGTCTGTGGCAGCCCAGTGGCGGTTTTAGATCGGTTCTCTTTGGGAGTCTTCTCTCCAGCAGCTAACTGGGTCTTGCTTTTAGACTTACTACCACTAATGCCGAGATGTGGCTTTGTTTTAGATTTAGAGAGAGAGGTGATTTTTGATCTCGCTTTTAAACTTGTTTTACATCCTGGCCTAGGGCTGTTCTTTGGGCTAAGTCTAGAATTTTGTAGCCTAAGAAGGTACAAGTCATCATAACTACCATCAGGGGGAAACCTCTCTTCTAGGTGCATGGAGACAAAGTTTGATAACTTATCAAGAACTATTTGAACTAAGTATCTTCCAATTTGCAGTGATGAATACGGCAAGAGAGTGTTTTCTAGCACAAGAGCATTCAAGCTGTCAGCATGAGGATACATCTGTGGTATCCCGAGTCTAAGGGGGTCACTTCTTTTTCTTGTTGGCTTAGTTTCTCTAAAGCATTGCGGCCTTACTGATGAGCTGTTGTCCTTAATTTCTAATTCTCTCCTGCTTTTTTTATTTTTGTACAATGATGTCACAATCACCGAGTGCATTTCTCCCAAAATATTTTCCACTATATTATTTGATACATTGTCAATATGCGATTGAAAGAATTTCTTCTGTGTTATAGCTGATGTCTTACTTCTACATTTAGACACAACATAGGGGATTTTATTAAATGGGGCTAAGTGGCCTACCATTTCCATTATTTTTTTATTCAAGGTCTTCAAAATCTCTTCCACGGCCCTGAGTTTTTCATTTTTTTCTTTTGATTTTGATTCTCCTTTTCTCATAAATATTTCTTCCAAAACAACTCTCTGGCTTTCATTTTCCAATGCGATTTGGTTTTCTTCTAAGAGATTATTTGTACACTGTGGTAATGTGTCAGGTTTTTCCTTCTCATTGTATCCCAGCAAAACCTCATTTGATATGGTTAACTGGGAACATGTAGGATTTCCCGGTGAGGATAAAAAAAATTGCTTTACAGATTCTTTATTGTGTAAAATCTTTAAGATACTAGTAACAATTTCACTCACAATCATATTTTTTTGAAATAAAACGTGGTTTGAATATGTGTGCATCTTGATACTTTGCATCTCTAAATCTAAGTCATTTTTAATAAGCTTCAAAATAGCACTGGCAAGGAAGTCGGCATAATCCTTAAGGCTAGTTTGTGATAAATGGATTGTACTTCCAAAATTTTTTTTGCAGCTGGCAAAAATGGGTTCTGAAAGCTCTTGGCTAGAGACAGCTTTGGTTGTTGATAATTTTAGGACATTCACATCAGATTCAACTTGGCCTAATTCATGAAAACTGCTGTCATCTTGTTCACCATGTTCCAATTCTGGGCTAGCAAATACATTTTCTTTAGACTGAAAGGCAAGAGTCATTAATGAATTCATTCTTTCAGTGGCAAAAGATTGTAACCGATTGAAAATAGTTTCGGTAATAAAGTTGGCATTTTCCTCACATGGGTCAGGAGCAGGCTCCTTGGTGTCCTCTGGTTTTCCCTCAGTTCCTTGTGTTATAGAAAGAGGCTGTTGACACAGTGATTTTGGAAACATATCACAGAAGGCCAATCTTGTGGAAGCACAGTCCTTTGCATTTATGGCAAGCATGACCAAAGAAGTAAGTTTACAAAGCACAATGTCCACTATATCCTTGGACACCAAAATTACATCTGCTTTAGGTACTGACACCTTAGGAATAATATTTATACCCGTAATAACTGGTTCAAATTTTGCTTTTGGGTGTTTGCCAGGTATACTGTACTTCAGAGTTGGTGTGGCCGGTGAGAGGTTATTCTTGCACACGATGTTTTCATAAATATCACATAAGATCCCTTCAATGGTATCTTGAATTTGAAACTCGAGTATTTTTCCATATTCTGTCCTATTGACTAGCCTTTCAATAATAGCATCCCGCTCACCTGAGCAGCCCTCTCTGTCAGAGCTGTTTCTCTCACACGTGTCCTTGCATGACACAATGTCCAGCACGGTGTTGACAATCTGACTTGCGATATTCTCAGAGACCACAATATTACTTGGCAAGAGAGGGCCACACTGTTCTTTGTCTAACTCAAGCTTGATGCCTTGTAAAATTTTCCGAGCCACTTCTTTTGCATAAGTATTTAATTTGGACAAAGACAGTTGGCACCATGAGTCCATCCTTCCTGGATTACTATGATCTACTGGACAACAGGGAAGCTGCTCATCAGAATATGAATCTTTGCATGACAAAGTTTTGCTTAGTGTTCCCCCTTCCTGCTCTACTGGCAAAGTCACTGGGACTCTGAAATCGACTTGGGGACAAACAAGTGATTCTACTTTGGAAGCAGCAAACGTTTCTAAATTTTCTAATATTGCCTGCACGATATCTTCCACTACATTTATTCTGGTCTGTTTGTCAACATTCCAGCCGGGCTGAAGGTCACACGGATGCCCGCTCAGTGCACTGACAGGGGAGCTTCTTCCGTAGGCGGGCTCGCAAAAAGAAACATTGCTTGAAAAGATGATTGCTCCGCATCTGTTTTCACTTACATGCTTTCCTGTCATGGCAGCTGAATACAGCTTGTGAAACACTGTCCTAACGACGTCATTTACCACGACAGTTACATCTGTGTCTGACACTAAAGGGACCATTAGATGATCTGTGGAATGAGCAGACGTTTGAGTAGTCGACACAGGAGCATTGTGGGCCATGCCACGAAAATGAGAGAGAGAAACCAACTTTAACTGGTTGATTAGAGCACTTTGAAAGATTTCATTCAAAATATTTCTTATAATGGGAACAATTGGAGATTTGTGTGGTTCTTTGAGTTTCACTTCAATTTTGTTTAAGGTTCTTTCCAGAATCCACTGGTTAGTAGAAAAGCTTCTCATTTCTTCTCCGCATGATGTTCTATCTCTAATGAGTTTTTTACTTTGTGTGTCATCATCTAGATATGCCTCTGATTCAGCTCCTCCGGGAAGGAAATTTCCGTAAGTTGGTCTGTATCCATGATTTTCCATGCCTTTGTTCTCACATTCAGGTTCAGCAAACATATCAGAAGATACGGCTCCTACAATTAAGTCGACTATTTTTGTAAGCATTTGTGTCTCCTGTGGTGAGCCTCTTACATCTTCCGTATAATCTGAGGGGTTCATATTTAATTCCGTTTGAATGGCTTTCAAAATAACATTTGATACCTTCTTAGAATAAGTGTACAGAGCAGATAACAATGATTTATCATGGGACTCTGTGAGAGAACTGTTGCTTTCACATTCCCAACCTGCCGTATTCTCTTTTTTATTTTCATCATTGAGAACATCAATATTTTCGACATTTCCACTGGCAAATCTTTCCAGTTTAGCAAAAACCATGTTAAGAATATCTGAAGCAACAGTTTTTACTTTACTTGGGCACATTTCTTTTGATTTCTCTATATTGGAAGGTGCTGCATGTTTTTCTTCATTTTCGGCCATAATTTTGGAAATTATTTTAGAGATCATGTTGGTGCACTTGGCCATTTCCTCCAGAGTTGAAGCAAATGATAGATTGTCGATATCAAGTGATTCTGAGGCAGTTTTCAATCCAGAATTTTTGGTGCTGTTATCTATATTAACATCACATAATTTTGCAAGGACATATTCCAGAATTCCTTTGGAAAGGAGCTGAACATTAGGTAGTGTTGGAGTATTCTTGTGTAAGTTCTCTGGAGTATTCTTGTGTAAGTTCTCTGGAGTATTCTTGTGTAAGTTCTCTGGAGTATTCTTGTGTAAGCTCTCTGTGTTTTCCTGATTGCAAGATGGCTGAGAATCAGGGTGGTCACCTGTGAGTTTGCATAACATTTCATGCAGTGTTTCCCCAATTCGATCTAATACCTGCAATTTGGGACTATCCTTAATGTCCTTTTCATTAGCAACACTGTGGTGAATACATGGTGTAGCCAAATATTGGCGAAAAGAACTTCTTTCTTGTTTATTTAGCAAAATGTTCTTTTTATTAATGTCTTCAGATCCACATAAAGTTGTAGGTATTGCCTTATCTGTAGAGGGTGAAAATTTTGTTTGATCTTTGTTTGTACTTGATATCATTTCACAGATACATGTCAGTAACGGACTTTCCATACTCTCCTTGACACCGATGCCATAGCAGTCTACTGCTTCGCTGGAATCAGTAAGCCATGCTTTGCTTGTGTGACACTTGGTATGGCTTAGTTCCCTAGGATTTGGGTTTATCTTGCTGATTTCCAGTTCATTCTGTATAGCCTGCAAAACAATGTTGACTATTTTCATTGTGTAAGTACTAAGTTGAGAATGTAATGATTTCCCTACCAGTGAAGATTTGTTGCTTGTCTGCAACTTAGGACAAATAAATAACTTTAGGCTTTTAAAAATCGTATTGATAATCTTATCAGTGATATCATTTACACGTTTAGACTCACATTCTCCAGACCTTAACCGAGAATTGTTTTCGAGCTCTATGTTGAGAGAAGATAAATATTTCATTTTCTTTTCACTGTCAAACCATACGTTGAATGGTGTTTTACTTGATGTATCTTTGGATATGTAGGGAATGTCAGAATGATATAGACAAGTTTGATTAAAAGCATTTTTAATGGTATTAGGAATATATTTTGAGGCCTTATAAAGTATATTTATCACAGAATCTGTTATTTCTTGTGCAAACACTTGAATTTCTGACCCAGAGAACATCTTTCCCAAACACCCTTGATCGGCTAGTCTTTCAGAAGTTTCTGAGATGAAAGCATAAGGAGGAGCATCTTCATCAAGCTTGCTTCCTGAGGGACTAGATGAAACGGAAGACATATCACTAATCATTTCTATTAAAATATGTTTTACAATGTTTTCGGAAGCTTTTTGTATTTGGTGCTTTTGGTCTTGGCTGAAAATTGAAGCATCAGTCCTCAGATGGTGCTTTGTCTTGGTAATGTCATCACTGCTGACAGATAACTCCAACTTTAACCCGCAGTCCTGACATTCCGCTTTGCCCTGAGAAGTAAGTTTTGTTGATGGTTTATTACTTTTAGATTTGAAACAAGTATCCCTCTTTGTAGGCCAATGGTGAGGAGTATGCTCTTGTGGTTTTATTTTTTCATCACTGAAAGATGAATCAAGTACGCTTTGCACCAAGTTATCTATTTCCTCATCATCGTCCTCAGAATAAAGAACCATGCCTGGGACATTAACAGGTGGAAATGGTCTTTTAGTCCTAAGACCATTAAGTGATCTAGGGCCAGCAAGTCTGTACTTTTCTTCAGGGTTAGAAAGACTTCGTACTCTGGGTTGTCTGTGTTTTTTAACACCAGTTTTTACTGGATCCCAGTGAAGCTGAGTTAAGACATCATCTAGTAACTGAAGAAGTACCACTGTTTCTTCAGATGCGAAAAGTCTCTCATTATTGAGTTCAGTTTGGACATAGCCTAGTATAGTGCTGATTGCTTCTTCTACATGACCAACTAGAGAGGACTGTGAAAAAATATTTGATATTAAGTTTTGTATCTCTTCTTTCACAATGAGATTAGCAGCATCAGATGCAGGACTAGATTTCTTTTGGTCTGTTTTTTGATGGACTTTGTGTGTTGGCTCTGTCTTAATTTTTTGGTGGAAATGTTTAGTTGTATCTTCAGGAAGAAGTTCATTTTTCTTATAAGATGCAAGAGTCTTGAGTTTTTCTAAAATGGAATGTACCATATCATCTGCAATATCACACATTGGCTCCAAAGTATGAGACAGTGTGTCTTCAGAGGTTTTTGTTTCTATGGTTAATAAATATTCACCACTAGCTGATATACTTGGGTTAATGTCCACTGAAAAATCTTCTTGTGAATACATCTGTACACATTTTTTCTCAACAGCAGACTCTAGCTTCTCAAGCATGTTTTCCACAATCTCTGAAGCTACTGAGCATATGTCAACATTGGACAGCAACTCTTCTCTCTCTCCATCAGACTGGTCAACAAAAACTTCAGCTGTTACGGAAGAGAGAGAAGGAATGGCCTGGCTTAAGTCAGACATTAGTTCTTGAAAAATACTTTCTAAAATAAGTTTTGTTTCTCCTTTCAAGTGACATTTAAAGTTTACTAAGACATTCTTCAGCTTTTTCATTTCTTCTATGGCCTTTGCTTTTTTATCATAATGCAACGGAATCTCTAAACTCTCTGTTTCTGTGGTAGCATCTTTGGATATTTTAGTGCTTGTTTCCAATGATGTTAAAAGTTGACTGTCAGATTTACTGCTGCCTACTCTCGTAATTGGATAGTCTGACGTGGATTTTTTGTAATTGACTGATGAACTTGTAGATTGTCCTTTCCTTTGAAATGTTGTGCCAGTACCTGTGCTTTCCGCATGTGCAGAGGAAGGCTTCACAGGTGGGGATGTTCTCACAAGTGGGGATGTTCTCACAGGTGGGGATGTTCTCACAGGTGGGGATGTT